GACCGTACAGGTACTTTCATAATGTCCGTGGGACAGAAAGGTAACAAAGAGTTGGAGTTCCTGCGTCCAACTGGCATAGGTGTCAATAAAAGCTGGTTATGTGTATGTTTGCGATCGTGCTAATCACCGAATTCAAATCTTAAAACCTAATCTCACATTTGACTCAATGTTTGGAGGCTATGGAGAGGAGACTGGGTATTTGCACTACCCGTGGGACGTCGCCTTTGACTCTGAGGGTATGGTCTATGCAACAGTCCCTGGCCAATATTCCATAAAGAAGTTTTCTCCAAACGGAGTCTATCACTCGACAGTTGTCGATAAGAATACTCAGGGATTTAAAGAAGGAGAACCCAAATGTCTTGAGATGTTATTTATTGATGAACAAGATTACATGTACGTGACTGATCGCGAGTGTCACTGTGTCTTTGTATTTGATACAGGTGGTAGGTTTTATGCTCGTGTTGGTAACTATGGGTCGGCTGAGGGTCAGTTTTATTACCCAAGAGGTGTGGCTAAAGGAGAAGAAGGCCTGTACGTTAGTGAAGCTGGAAATAAAAGGTTACAATTGTTTGGATAAAATGGAGAAAAGAGGGAGAGACATTTTGAACTAAAAAAGAATTACTAAAAACCACTCAATCTTGATTATAGTGTATATGATTATTATATTGTTGTTTTTATTAAATTTTTCGTTCAAAAATTAGCAGAAGTGCTGAACAGATTCACATAAGCAGCTGCCAATGTATGAATCATCTTATACTGTCCCTGGAAAAGATAGAGAAAATAAACCAATTATCAAGAAGAATCACGCTACTTTATTCTGAACAGCTCCAGGTAAATTAACTCTCATATTCTTCACAGTTTGAAACACATCAACAACACTGCTGGACTTCATCTGATCAACGGTTGCCATGGCAGCACAAAACACGGCCGAACGACCAATCATATTACTAGAAAATATCAAGCAATGACATTGTATGACATCACATGACATCATCATACCTGCAGTGCATAAGGATTGGAGAATTTGGACTCTTTCTCTGTAGTGTCTTAACTAAATTCATAGTATTAATGATAGCACCTTCGTTACAGGAAGTGATGTCATCATTGCTCCACCCATCAACTTGAAAATGAGCCAATCTCCGTAGCATATTATTCTAAAATAAAGATCAATATATATCATTATCATTATTATTATTATTATTATTATCATTACTTTGTTATTTCTGATGAGGAGTAGCTTCCTAGAGAAGGACTGATGTCCCCATTCCTCTCTCACTGATATTGTAAACTCACCAAACTCAATTGTGCCTTCTTTAGGCCAATACTGTGCACAAGCCTCCTGTTACAATTAATAAATAAATAAATAAATATAATAATAATAATAATAATAATAATAATAATGATAATAATAATAATAATAATAATAATAATAATAATAATAATAATAATAATAATAATAATAATAATGATAATAATAATAATAATGATAATAATAATAATAATAATAATAATAATAATAATAATAATAATATTAATACTAAGTGTAATATAGAAAATGGTTAAAGGAAAAGATTGGACACTGCAAACTGGAACACTATGTTTTCATAATTTTTCATGTACAGGTACATACATGTAAGTTAGTTCTTCTTTCATAATAGTATTCATAATTATTCTCTCACCTCTTCTCCTTCCATTATTGGTGAGAGCATAACAATTGTTGTGATTTCTCTGTCAAATATCATCTTCCAAAAGTCCCGTCTTGTCTCTCTGAGAGGAGACTGAGCTATTATGAAACCTTTGTCATTCTTATAACTCTGAGAAGAAAGAAAAATGACACATATAAATTAATAATAAGTACCGGTATGAAAACAGCATTGATGTAATCTGGTGATTCTGACTTCAAGTGAACTCTCCATTGATCAGCTACAATTAATAATAATAATAATAATAATAATAATAATAATAATAATAATAATAATAATGATGATACAATGTACATGTAGATGTAATTACTTGGTAATATTTCTTGATATCTGTTCTTCCTTGGATGTTGTCTTGCAACATCACAAACAGCATCTTGTGGAGGAACAGAAACCTGCTCTAGGACCTTCAAAAAGAAAGAGATGATTGTAAGTATCACAACATTTATCCTCTCACATTAAACTGAGCTTCAAATCCAGTCACAGAGGCATTATCACTTGATGACAGAGAGGAGATGGTATTTTGCAAGTCACAAGCAACAATCTGAGTATCACCACACAGTGCTTGCTCCAGCACAGCTTCATGAACCAACATATACTGGTCCTATTACAATAGTATAAATATATGTACATACATTGCTGGAGTGAGTCATTTATTTATAGTATAGTGTGTACCAGTGTTTGAATCATCATCATTCTTTGTTCTCTCATTATTGTCACTACTGCTGGTATATCAATAATGGACTCAGTCAGTGCATCTTTAATGGAGCAACTCATGCCAATAAAAGCACCTGTTCGCCCTCCACCAGTGCTATATAAAGAACATAAATTGATAGGTTGTAGCATCAGTTTTAAAAAATATAGTTTCTAGAAAATTTTACCTGCAGTGTACTACGATTGGTCCCTTCTTGTGTTCAGTTTGGTTTGAGATTATTTTATTAAACTTTACCAAAGAATTAATAGGAGGCTGTGGTCCATACTCCAGCCAGTCAATAAACTGATAATGAGTGATCAACAAAGTCGACTGAGCTGAACTGTAATACTAGAAACATGTAGCAAGAGAAGGAGGAGAAAAAACAGCATGTAATTTCTATCAAAAATATCTTTCTCCCACTTCTTTCTTGTTTGGGTCAATTCTTCCTGTAGGATTCACAATCTTAGATCTCAGATTCCCCATCATTGTATTATACTGTCATTAAAATTAATGTAACTATTAATAACTAATGCCCCACCCACTCACGTGTAGCGTCAATTCCCTGATGATGAAGGAGTTGCTGGTTGTTTCTTTTTGGAGGGTCACGGTGAAGGGGCCATAGTCTTCAGAACCCCTGGAGGGCCAATATTGACTGCATTTAATCCTTAAATCCTCCTGTTATCAATTATTAGTTAAAATATTTTTAATAAAATTTGAATTGTACCTGAAGTTTAGTTAGCATGACTATGGCACATGCTTTCTCTTGCCAGACCATCCGCCAAAAATCAACCACAGTTCTATCCAAAGGACCTATTGATGGGGCAGGAAGTGGGAGGGGCAATGGGTGGAACAAAATGAGTAGAAAATTATTATCATTATTATTATTATCACTTTTCGTTACCTTGTGTTGCAATGTATTTCTGACTCTGTTCATCATCTTTATTAACCTGTTAATTAATTAATAATTAATTAATCAATTAATTAATAAGTCTTACCATTATGTATGAGGCGTTTACGTAAGTGTGCTGACAGTCAAGAAACCTCGGTAAAGGCTCCAATTCAATTATATTGACATCGTCTATCAATAATAATAATAATAATGATAATAATAATGATCATAATAATAATAATAATAATAATAATAATAATAATAAAATAGGAATAATAATAATAATAATTCTTCATTACATGGTACTATGTTCTGGTTTCTGTTGAATGGTTTGTTTTCGTCCGATGACGCAATATCAGTTGGTAAATCAGGAACACCCAATCTCTATAATAAAATATAATTAATAAAAATTCTATTGTAATAGCCATTTGTTGTCAGAATCAATATGTATCAGAAAATGTAATAAAAATTTGAGATGATTTTGGACCCATTTTTTGGAAAAAACCATGGGCTATAGCCTTGGGTACTTTTCAGAATTTTGACGTTTTCTTAAAATGGCCATAACTCGAAAAATTAAAGTCGGAATCAGTTCAAACTTGCTACACAGCATAAGGACATTAATATGTATCAGAAAATGTAATAAAAATTGGGGGTGATTTTGGAGCTATTTTTGGAAAAAACCATGGGCTATAGCCTTGGGTATTTTTCAGAATTTTGACGTTTTCTTAAAATGGCCGTAACTTGAAAAATTAAAGTCGGAATCAGTTCAAACTTGCTACACAGCATAAGGACATTAATATGTATCAGAAAATGTAATAAAAATTGGGGGTGATTTCGGAGCCATTTTTGGAAAAAACCATGGGCTATAGCCTTGGGTATTTTTCAGAATTTT